TGTGTTGCTATGGCAACCAGTCTGCGTGTAGCGCAGTGCTTCTCAAATAGTGGGGCGGGCCCCCTTTGGGGGGCGCGGTGCGATACCTGGGGGGGCGCGTGTGATCCTGGGGAACAGGCTTTTTTTTTGGCCGTACTAGTATAAAGTGTAATTGCGCACAGTAGGCGGCAGTGGCGCTCTCATTGTTACTTCTGTCACGTTTGCGACAGTGCAACATTTTACGACTTACAAGACAACAGGTTTGCCTTGGTTAGCAGTGTTACGTCAACAAAAAGCTCCGACTGCGTTCTGTCTATGGCGTCCGTTATTCAACAACCCCCAACATGAAAAAGTTTTTCACAGGGATGAAAAGAAAAGCGGAGAGAGACAAAGATAATGAGACAACAGAAAGTCAACCGAAAGCTAAGAAGAGGAAATACGACGAATCTTATTTAGCGCTTGGCTTCACTGTGACTACAGTTGGAGAAGAGGAAAGACCGCTGTGTTTGCTGTGTCTAAAAATGCTCGCAGCGGACAGCATGAAGCCAAATAAATTAGCGCGTCACTTAAATACGTTACATCCCAATCACGCCGATAAGCCGCTAGAGTTTTTTCAGCGAAAACGTGCTGAATATTGCCAACAGTCATCCCGCTTTGTGAAGGCTACTTCAGTAAACCATCGAGCGCTGCTAGCATCATATAAGGTGGCGTACCAAATTGTGCAGTGCAAAAAGCCCCACACCATAGCAGAGGAGCTGATATTGCCTGCAGCAGTAGACATGGATTTATATTTTTAATTTCAGGCATTGATGCACTTAAAATCTTTTCTGTTGCAGACTTAAAACACGATTTAATAAAGTTATTCTTTGTAAGTTTGACCATATGTCTTTCTTTTTTTCTTTAATGTTAATGAAAAAATGTTATGCAGAGATGGATAGTCGCGGTGGGGAGTGGGGGGCGCGAATAGTTTTCTTCTTGCTAGGGGGGGCATAACGGAAAATAATTGAGAAGCACTGGTGTAGCGTAAGAGAGCGAGAACAAGCAGAACGTGATTCTCGTTCTTCATTGCCGTTTTTATATCAACAAAAAAAATCCTTTAACCGTTATAATCTGATACCAGCTTGTAGTTGTGCTCAGTGTCTTCTTTAGATGTTTTGTGTTGATTCCTTTAGTAGTTCTTAGTGCAGCGCCCCCGCAGGCGAGGAGGGGAATATGTTTTTCAAATAAAGAAATATAAATTCGAACTACACAAGCTGAAAATGTAACTAAAGTTGCCTAATCGAACTCAGACTACCAGACTATCAGGTGTGAAAACATCTTCCTCCTCTTCTTCCTCACTTTCCACTGGAACCTTTTCAGTTTGCTGTTTAACAGCAGCGAGCCGCAGGTATCTCTGACTCAGCCGTCTTCAGGAGAGAAAAAGCAATCAAAGGAGCGACAGCCAACTCCTGCTGGGAAAGAACAAAGTGCTGCTTCGGACCAACAATAGAGCGACGCCTCAGGGCGGGCGCCAGATGGAAGAAAAGACACAGCTGCTGGGTGTTTGTGATTCTCCTGCAGCTGAAAATGACACGCGAGCCGTGATTATTATTAATACAGCTATTAAGGGCTCTTTAGGTTCTCATTATGGCTGATTGATGAAAGCCAGAAGCACAGAGATGAACTAAACAGGAGTGAAGGACAAACAGCAAACACGTCTCCTCTGAACTGGGTTTTCTGCACATTTTCACACAAATTTATCATCAACTGAGGGAAGCAGAGAAACAAATATGCTAAATAATACAAAGTGTTGGGTGGTAACTGTCAGCGGTGGGTAGAGAACACAAAGATTTTACTAAAGTACTGAGTAACTGATCAAATCATCAATCGATTAATCCTTAACACTTACATTAGATGGACCAAATTATAAAGTTAAGTGGAAATTTTGTCATTTTAAGGACCAAAATGATCAAATGTGTCATAAAAAACAAAATCAGAAAATGAAACTGTTTTCAAATCAGTTCCTTTCAAAAACAAACTTGAACCTTGAACAGAGAGTCCAGGTGTGTGTCTGTCTGGTGAAGTTTTGGTTAAAACAAGTTTTTCATTTAGTGTGTAGAAAATCCAGAAATTTTACTCAAGAATAGAAATGCTTCTTAATAAAATTACTCAAGTAAAAGTAAAAGTGCAACATAGTAAAAAAAAGGTACTAAGGTAAATGTAATTGAGTAAATGTTACATTTACTCAATTACATTTACCTTTGTTAGTACCCAACTCTGGGTATGCATGCCACACTTTTCAGAGTTTTCTTTGTAACAACTCTTAGAAGCCACCAATCATTTCTCATCAACACCGCAATTCAGCTCCAAAACACAAATTCTCTCTTAGAATCGGATCCAAACTAAACGAAGCCTGAAAGCAGAAGAACACGGATCCAAATCCTTAAAAGCAGCGGCTTTGTTTTCTGCTCAGCTCTAAAACAGAGAACATTAAGATTTAGCAACAGCGCTGATAGAAAACAGACGTCTGGCCAGCTCCGCTGCCCCTCTGGTCCGCAACCAAAGAAAGGCCGCAGGAAAGAAAATAGAGAAAAGCACATGAGCGTTCATCCGTCCAGACTGAACCCAGTAAAACACTGACGACAAGCCTGATACCACACACACACACACACACACACACACACACACACACACACACACACACACACACACACACACACACACACACACACACACACACACACACACACACACACACACACCACAGCAGCAGCAGTTGGCAGCTGATAAAACTCAACTCCAAGTCATCAAGTTTGCCTTCCAAGTCTGTCACGCCTTCGCCTTTCTTCTCTTTTCATTCTCTGCACATTTAAACCATCCAGACTTTTTCCATCGGCCCAGTTTTCTCCCTCCATCTTTAATTCTTTGTCTCTTTTCATGGTTAAGGTCATAAATTAACAAGCGGTGAAGAAGATGGACACACACCGAGTCCTGACTCCGGTCCAGCTGACTCTGGTCCAGCTGACTCCGGTCCGGGTCGGAGGCCGATAAAAACACTGGGTTTTGGCCAAACACAACAGTCAGCTGGACCCACACATGCAGACCAGAACTCTGACCCAACTGACTGAACAGATACGGCTTCATTAAAACTTTCTCGGGTTCCTGGTACGTTAGCTTTTCTCTCCTAGTTTCTACTGAATGCTAATAAGAGGAAGATCTTACACAACTCAGCACTGCCCTGTCTGTCGAGCACGGCAGTGGCAGCATGATGCTGAGGGGTTATTGGTGTGTTGCAGAAAGCAGATGAATAATAAAAAAAGAGACTCAACCTTAAATAGATTAACTTAAATCAAAAGTTGGGCTCAAATGGATGTTGATCCCAAACACATTCAAACTGGTTTAACATTTAGCTTCCAGAGTGGCCCAGTCAAAGCTCGAAACAGCACTTCCAGACCAGAAAATAGTCGATCAGTTAAAGGAAAGTCTTAAAGACCCAGATGAATTATGAACTGCTAACATCCTGACTTATAATCAAATTCAGTTAAAAATGAATTTGATGACCTCAGAATGACCTTTAGAGATCGGTGCATCTCTAAAGGTCATTTTGAAAGTTTTTGTCCAGGTAATAAAAACTCGCTGTCAGCTTATTCATAAAGGAATGAGCCAACTGAAGGAATCTGCCTCTATTCCAGACTTGAAATGAAAATGATGAAACTGAATCAGCCAGTAAACAAAGGTGTGCACTGAGGAAAGGTTTGAGTAGAAGTTGTGTTGGAAATGACGGCCATGACGGGCGATGGAGGGAGGAAAGTCTCACACAGAGGCGTCACGCTTTAATGCGAGCTGGCAGAGCGCGAGCGGATCATAGAAAACCACACATTCAGATGTGACGGCCATTTAAATCGACTGGTCACACTGGGAGGGCTGATTCTGGTCCAGCAAGGGTTTCTGACGCCTCTGGCTCCTTATCTGAACTGGAAGTGCTGATAAATGGCTCCACTGGTCTAAAATTTAAACCTCCACAGAAAACTGTTCAGATTCTTTGCTGGAGGAAAAACACTGAAATAATTTAGTGTGTTGGCGGTAAAACCGTAAAAAGTCTGATTTCAGTTCATTCTCCTTCATAAAACAGAAAATTCAGACTGATGAGAACATCTGTGTTCATCAGGTCACAGCCTGGCTACAGATTTCAACTTAAATTTAGACCTGGGCTTTGACTAGGACGTAAAGCTTCAACCTAGTTTCAAGACTTCTGCAGCCTCTGACTAGGATTAAATGGCGTCTGACCAACATGATGCTGCCACCACCGTGTGTTGCTATGGGGACGTTCAGTCTCATATTATTAGAAGTGGTTATTTATCATATAGTTATCGTTTATTGTGATAAATTCCGGTTAATGGCTGTCGGAATGACTTTTTGACTATTTCCTCCACTGTTTGTTCAATTAAAGTATCAGTAAATATTAATTATTTTCAAAAGAAGATTAAATGGTGTTGCTGTGAGCAGTTTATTGATAAAAATCACTTTTTCTGTGACGTGTGTCCAAAACAAATGAATTCAACAGCAGCGTTTGTGTTTGTGGGACTACAATAAAAATCAGTCAGATTATAATCCAGCTTTTGTTTTTATGATTCCTCACTAAATCTGGAACTTTTAAAAGGTTTGGATAAAATGAGGTGAATGAAAATGAGGTTTTTAATTTTATTTGTCAAGAACTGCAGCATCATTTTCTTTCCACGTCACGATTTCTGCTTTCTGCTGCTCTATCACACAGTCACAATAAAACACCCCGAGGTGATAAAAAAAAACCAGTGTGTTGTTTCAGTAATGATTTCGTCTCTGTGAGGAGTGTTAGAGAAACAGCCTGGAGCCTGAAATTAACCTTTGACCCTGAATCATTACAAAGAAACACAGAGATTCAGCTGGAGACAGCAGCTATACTGACTGTTAAAACATCAACGCAGCCATCAGACAGAAAAAGAAAAACTACGACAGAGTGCACAAAGACAGATGATCTGATTTCAAAATAAAAGCATCCTTACCTGATCAAAGTGAGCGACCTCTGATGACCTCGATCTCCTGAAAGAGACAAACATATCTGTTAGGAGGCAAGAGGTTTGCATTACTGTTGAACTGCAGTTGGGGGCCACGATCTGGACACCCCTGGTTTGGATCAAAGCAGATTCAGGGGTTAGAATGGCATAGTCAAAGCCCAGACTGAGAATCTGAGGCAGGACTGTTGGATTAAGACACACAGGTGATCTTCAAACAATCTGACGGAGCTTCAGCTAAGAACCTAAAATGTCAGACTCCAGATGTTCCATGAAACCATAAAAGTTTAGCTGAACTGAAGAAATTCAGCTAAACTTTCAGCTGAAGTTTAGCAAAAAAAAATGGAAAAACAACAATTATTTTTCTACTTCTCTCAATAATACACAACATAGCATTGATCTGTCAGACCCAAGCTGATAATTACAGCCAGCAGGACAAAAAGGGAATATTGGCAGGACGGATGGATGTATGGATGGATGGATGGATGGATGGATGGATGGATGGATGGATGGATGTATGGATGGATGGATGTATGGATGGATGGATGGACGGACGGATGGATGGATGGATGGATGGATGGATGGATGGATGTATGGATGGATGTATGGATGGATGGATGGATGGACGGATGGATGGACGGATGGATGGATGGATGGATGGATGTATGGATGGATGTATGGATGGATGGATGGACGGACGGATGGATGGATGGATGGATGGATGGACGGACGGACGGATCCTAAAGGAATTCGTTAGTCTGTTGGTTCCCTCATCGGAACCGTCTGAACATCTGGATCAAGCCAAACCTCTGGAGGTTCCAGTGTGATAATGAATCCAGCTTCCAGCTACAGAGACGCCTTTGTATCACAACGAAACCAGGCTTATACACAAATGTAAAACATAATTATTTCTCATAATTAATTCAAAGAAACGGCCAGAAATCTTGTATTATCTGGGAGCAGAGAAAGAATGGAGGAAAGCTGGAGCGCTGCCCGCTTCAAACACGGCCTTTCATCAGGAAACACATTCCACTGAAGGCATTTTAATTTGAAACCAGAGCAGTCGCTGTGTTTCCTCCACTAACGATAACACGCTCAACAGCAGAGCGAACGCTTTTAAAACAAGAACATCTATTTGCAAATGAGACGCAGCGAGAAGAAAGAGAAATAATGCTGAATAAGCCCCAGTTACAGGTAGCTTTATTCACTCATGGAGGACAGGAATCAGTGTCGCGCACGCCGCCACGAGCAGAGGCTGTGTGTGTGTGTGTGTGTGTGTGTGTGTGTGTGTGTGTGTGTGTGTGTGTGTGTGTGTGTGTGTGTGTGTGTGTGTGTTGTGAAGTTTGTTTGGCAGCTCTTCTAACGATCCGGAGGCCCTCGGTGCTGCCCAGCAGAACCGCCCGCTCTGTCTCCTCTCTATCTCAGGCAGCCATATGCTTCTGGATGGCAGAGACGGGCCGGCCATATGTTCTGATCCAAACATCCAGATGGCAGCGCATCAGTCCGCCGGTTTTCCCTTCCATCATCCGTACCTGAGAACGGTTCTGGCAGCCGATACGGCGTCGGCTGGGATTAAGGGATCCGGTTAATGATCAGGAGGATTTTATTCTGAAAGGATTTGGACCCAGTGAAGCCGAGCTGAGAGGAGCAGACGGGCTTATTAGTGTTTGGACCGGAGTCGATCCGATCTGGACACAATGGAGGTTCCCACAGATTTCCTGCTTCTACCAGGCCAAACTTCCAGAACCATCGACCCATTCTGGCTCAGATGAAAGAATAAATACAAAAGTTCTGGGGGTGGGTGGATGGATGGATGGATGGATGAAAGGATGGATGGATGGATGGATGGATGATGGATGGAAGTATGGATGGATGGATGGAAGTATGGATGGAAGTATGGATGGATGGATGGATGGATGGATGGATGGATGGACGGACGGATGGATGGATGGAGTAATTGACAGACGGGGGTCAGATTTATGGCCGTACCAGGGACACATTACGAAGGTTCCACCTTTGACCTCTGTATAAAAAAAAAACTCCAAAAAGTTTTAAAAAGTCTATAATGTTATTTTCTTGAGATCATATCCAGACTTCATGCTCTCTTGTCTTTCCTATCTTGCAGTCGCTAAGATAATTTAGTTTCCTTCTTGCAAAAGGCATTGAAGGAATTTATTTTAATAAAATCACCATGGAAACCAACAGCTAGAGCGCCTCCCTGTGGCACTTCTGTTAAAATTTAAATTTTTCGACTATTTTAAATATGACTGTCTCTCTGAACTTTTGTTAGTTTAAGTTTATGCTACAAATGCAGTAAAAATGTTTGCATCCATCCCTATTCTTGTTATAATAAAGTCCATAATTTGGGTGGAAAATGACTTTCAATGCGTATCGTTGAAGGAGTGGACAGCAGTTTTCCTTCAGCTTTCAGGCAGACGGCGGACAGGCTCACTCAGCAGGTCCAGATCTGCTGGCCGTCTGACCCCGATGCCAGGAAAAAACACACACCCTCTGTTTCACACACAAACACACACACCACGGGTCAGGAGGCATGTGCCAAGAAAGACAATCCAAACAGCGGCTGCAGCATCAACACCCAGAGCGTGCTGCATGTTTGCTCAGAAAGCAGAGGAGGACCTGAGAACCTGCTTCTGAGAACACAAACAACGATGCAAAAAAAGGCGCTTTCCTGCAAAAGCAAAATATAAAATTTCTAACGACTATTTCAGAGCTATTATATCTGAAATAACTCAAAACTAACTTACTAGAGGAGATTGTTTTCAGTAAACAATTTCTAAACATTGACATCAGCAGATAAATTTACTTTCAAGACAATTTCCCCTTATTAAAAGTTAAATCATCTGTCAATAGAACTACTACTTTTTCATCAATATCAAGAAATTATTTATTTAAAACAAGCTCCTATATATTGTTCAAAATGTACATATAAGTTAGTTATATCAAAATTAGAGTGATATTTGAACAAGCTGTCAAGCTAGCTAATTCTCAAAGAATTTGTAACAAATTTAAATTACAATTTATTAAAATTTAAATAAAATACATTTTAATGATTGTGTTTTTGCAGTGTTGTTCTGTGAAAACTCTACGATCATCTGGATAAGTTGGCCTTAAGCAAAGCATTCAAAATGTGTGAATGATTAAGTAAATGCGAGCGTGCGCAGAGGCTTGTTTGTGTGGGAGTTTTAACAATTAGAGCAGGAAGCTGCAGCAGTGGAGCGCTGGGTTCCCTCTGGATTTCAGGCATGCAGAAATGCTAAATTCCCACACTGTCCTGCGGCTCAATATCAGCTGCAAAACATCACAAAAAATAAGCACAAGTTGGAAAACCCAACGTCCTGTCGACCCGTTTCCCAAACAGCATTTGGTCTCCCTCTCTGCTGGCGCTCCGTGTCGCCGGATCACAGGACAGACGCAGCTAATCAGGTTGTTTATGAGGCCGAAGGAATCCGGGTCAGAACCCTCTGGGGTTCTGCTCTGGGTCTGCTTCACCAGAAGAGTCATCAGGAGGGGAAATGATCAGCTTTCCACTTAGTGACACAAAGCAGAAAGAGACGAGCTGATCGGAGGAAAATCAGATGTTTTTTTAACACCATGTGAGGAAAAAACAACATGTTGGCTAAAGTTAGATACCCTGTCCTGAAGCACTGGGACACTGTAAATAATCTTTTTATGATAAATTTCTAAAAATAACTGATAAAAACATGAAATTCCCAAACATGTTTGTTTGTGTCACACAACAAGATTGGTAAATTATTTGACAATTCAGAGATGGAAAGCAACTATATTTGTAATATTATTTAATATTGAAGTAGCTGCAGCCGTTTGTTTAACCCCCAGACTGAGAATGTTGAATGTGGCTCTATTGGCGTGAGACAACCAGGCCTGGAGCGATATGGAAACCAAACAGATTTGTGCCAGTGGAAGCGTCTGAGCGTCTACGATGTTTGGAGAGAAAAAGTTAGCCACATAAGAAAGGAAAAACAATTCCAGAGAAATAAAGGTACAAAGTGGTCCATTTTAGGCAAAATAGATAAAAAAGAGCTTGTAATTCACATCAATTCGAGCCAAGCCACACTTCACTTCAAGCAAATCAGATCCAGGTTTGTAGGAGTCCAGTTACACATTCACACCTCCCCAAATGAATCAGACCTTAACAGACTGGAGTTGAATTAAAGACCAAACTGTCATTTAAAAGCAGAATCTGGAATACCAGCCAATTGGCCAAAAGCTGACATCAGATCTAATGTAAGCAGCACAGAACATTGACCTGAATCAATCTGCATCAAAAGGTTTAAATGAGATTCATAAACTGTGAATGACGGCAAGTGCTTGGCCAAAACCTTTGGGAGTCTTGGCTAGAAAAGAAAGTATTTAAAAAAAAAAACAATGTTTAAAGGTTTCTGCACCATTTTGGTTTGGTCTTCTGACATTTTCTACACAAATTGATGCCTCCTTCATAGACATCAGCCCGTCTTCATTAGAGCCTAATACACCCAGTAAATAGTCCGAATATTGTATCGTAATATGCATTATTCAGAGTAGCTGTGAATATTGTATGAGGAGACTACATTTGAATTCAGACTGTAGTTCTGGACCTGGCTGATGGATGGAGACTTGAAGAGAATGGCAATAATTAGATGCAAAATAAAGTAAGGAAAATGAGAAGCGAGACAAAAACTGGAAGCAAATCTAGATTTTCAAATGCATAGAGTTGCTTCGTAAATTAAAGAGACGACGACGCGTTGATTGTCTTGGCCTTTGCGAGAGCGTCTGTTTGTGAAAGCTCCGGCTCATCAGTAAATGTGCTGATGCATGTCTTCAGCTGGAAAAAAGTGATCTTTCGTTCTTATCTCACCTCCTTTATAATATCCCAGCGTTCAGATTGGAACGGCACGAGATGAGAGAATCAGTTCGTATTCAACACGACTGAATGCTGTGCTGATGAAAGCTTATGCTGATAATAGCTTTTTCATTATGTCCTTAGCCAGGCTTGGCATTTCATTTTCTCTGGCACACAGAGAGACAAGTTAAGATTTCCACTGCTGCAGCTTTCAGAGGTTGCTGTTCTTTTCTGATTAGATTGTGTGTTTGGAATATTATTTCTTTTAAAGGCCTTCTGTATGCGCGATTAGTTTCTGTGGAGGTGGCCTTGGTGTGAGAGGCTGTTTTGAACTTAAAAATTAATCTCTCCGAAAATCATAAATCAGACAGAAGCAAGTCATTAACTCTACATTTACATATTTTCTATATTCCTCCATGTTCTCTGGTCACCATGTCCGTAAATATTTTTTCTAGATATTTATGGTCATCTTTAGTATCAGCCTCTTGTCATCCAGAAGGTCCAACATTTTCATCTGGACTAGTGTGAAAAATGCTAACTAAAATGACCTACAGGTGTTTTATCCACTGCTAATGACTTCATATCAAAAGTCCCAGCTAAACTATGCAAACACTCAATCTGCGCTGATGAAAAATTCTCACTTCAAGGTGCTTGAAACCGATGGCATCACTTTCCTAATAATTATATGTTTTTCAGAGTTTTGCTTATCCTATGTATGAGGGAAATTTTTTTTTTTTAATCTCAAACACGAGTTGAGGTAAACAAACATGGCCGACTGGGAAGAAGCAATGCCAAGAGTTTAATTAGTATTTTCAACAAAACAATGACACAAAGATGTCTCATGTCCACCAGACATGGTAGTTGTTAAGTCTTCTGTATTTTGGATTCTGTGTATCAGTCAAACACAGGAGGATTGACTGACATCAGTCCAAGGGTCAGGCAGGTCACTCCTGGGTCAGACAGACATCAGTTGTGTTTGATGTATTTTTAGAGATATCTTTTAGTCGTTAAGCTCACTGCTTTCCAGTGACCACAACGTGCTTCTTCTGTCTCGTTAGATGGATCATTTGTGATTTGACCTTTTTAACCAGATGACATTAAGATGTTAACAGGAAAATTGCTGGAAACTTGAGTAAATCAAACTACTAATGATCACGATGTTTGTGCAGCTGATTGTTTCCCAGAGAAAGGCTGGTGCTGGTTTACCTCTTAGCTCGGTTAAATCTGATAATAAAGACCAAAACTTTTACTAGAACAGAAAAAAACATCAGGGGCCAAGATGATTTGGTGCAACTCCAGTGGACTCAACCTGGATCCGTTTTAACTTTAGTAGCAGGTCTAATAAATTCAGTCTGTGAGTTGTTTTTAGTCTTGTCTGGGAATTCTTGGATTGTCCTAAAAATCTGATGTTTAGCTACAGATTTGCCAAGAAGGAGCTGGAGAGACCATGAAAGTATTTTCCACTTTGAAACGTGGAAAAGAACATTAGTATTGACCGAAGTGGGTGTGATTGAAGACCAGAGTCTGAAATGTTTCCACACCCTTTGGTTGCATCAGATTTTCTACATCTTGGATTTCTGTTTCTGATCCAAAGTCCTTTGGGACGGACAGGCGGTGGTGTAGGAGACCAGCTCGCTCGCTCGCTCGCTCACTCCGGCTCCCCCCGACTCTGAAGAATCCCAGTCATGTTGAGTAGAACCAGATGTGCTTGCTCCCACCTCTCTCTTGTAACCATCTCTCCTTTCAGTGTCTGCTGCCACTTTCTAAAGACGTCTAGGAGTAGATCACAAACCCGTTACTCCTGACAGCAGAGCACAGCAGCACAAAGATCTGTCAATCTTTCAGATACATTTTCTTTCAACATGTTTTGTCAGAAAGTCAGAAAATCTTTTTCACTTATCACAAAGATAAGGTTCTGGAGGAAAGTCCAGAACAGAGTCCCTCCAGCATGTCCTAGTTCTATGCTTCTGTGCAAAGTTTGACATTTGATATAGATTTCACTCATGTAAATTTATTTACTTCTACAATATTTTGACAGAGGATGCATTCACACCAGCTCTGTTTAGTTCACTTTAATTGAACTCCAGTTTGTAGGAAGTCCGGTTTGTTTGGGGAGACAAATGACTTTGTTTCTCATCCATTCTTAATTTTTTGACTTTTTCAGATCCTACTTCATGTTGTCAGACAGGTCCTGTATTAACTTGGTGTGATTTCTAAAACTTTTTTTTTGCCCTTAAGAAGCAGAGACAAAGTTAGAAGCAAATATTAATTCATGTATTAAACAGATTGCCAGATGATGGTGTCTGATCTCACCAACCAAAACATCATTAAAAATTGGTAGAAAGGACCTGGAGGAATAATGCAAGGTCAATCACCAGCCGCCTTTCCAAGCTGTGGTTCAAAGATAAAACAGAAACTTTGCTTTGGGTTTGCTTTTTTAAAATAATTTTAAAATATTTAGGACATGTCATTTACTTTTTAGGAAGTGAGGTCCTTCGTTCCCCCACAGTGTTTCCCCTGAAATAGATCTGTGCTGCTCAAATGTTTGATGCCATGACACCGTCTCCTAGGACATCATTATCAGAGATGCTCTACATGCATTAATGCTCATAATTCTGCTCTAAAAATACTGAAAATAAAATACTCCTCGTAGTGAAAAAGCTGCTGAAAAATCCTCACTATTTAATGATTTAAAAAATTAGCCAAATTCAGCCAGTGTGAGGAAAAGGAGCATATTTAATCCAACGAACACGGCGTCTCTCACATAAACCTGATCCACAGACTAACTGGGAACAATGTCCTTCATTGCTCCCTGCAGGATGCAACATCTCCACCAAGACAAAACGTAGGCGTTCAATCTCCTCTCTACAGCCACAGAAATCCTTCCCTCAGGGCCGAATCTGCAGCGGAGCGAACCGCGTCTCTGCAAACATGAAAACCTGCTGCAGATTGCAGGAGATTCTGTGGGAGACGACAGACTAATATTTAAACTTAAACAGATGGAAGGTGGAGGAAATTTAGACTTTTCTTAAACTTTCTGGAGAGAAAGACTCTTCCTGAAGTTTACAGGCTGATAATGGATACAATTCATTTAACCATTTAGACTTATTGCTAACAATATTCAAATAAATATAAAGAAATCAAATTTTGTAGACAAGAAAACAAATATTTTGATGTCTAAAATGCAATATCATTTGTAGCAAAGGATTCATCTGGAGGTAAAAAGAAAAAAAGTCATCTCTCAGTGAGCTCAGGACAAATCAGTTGATTATTGGATTAACTGATTAATAATTTATCGCAAAAGGTGCTTAAGAAATTTTCTGGGTTTTTTTAACCAAATTTGAATAAAAATTAGATTTGAAGATTTCTGAGTAGATTAAGGAAAAGATATGTTTTATCATTTTAAATGAGAAATGTTTATATTTCTTGTACAGTATTGAGTTTAGTTTCTCAGGAGACTCTTTTAGTAGCAGAGTCTCCTGAGAAACAGACACTATTGAACAAAAGATGAATCCATTCTGAGCTTTCAGAGGAAAAACGGATCCTTCTGACAACAAACATGATAAAACACAGGAAATGTTCAGCCTAAATTATTCTGTTTGCTGCACACAAGTCTGGTAAACACTCAAATATTCAGAGATCATCGGGGGTTAATAAATGTTTTCTTTACAGCAGAACTACTTCCTGTCTTGGAGTTGTTATCAGCCTCATCTTCCTGTGGTCCATTTCTAAACCAACCAGAGGCTCTGATGTGTTTGCACAGAAACAGTCTGTTGAAATAAGAGCAGCAGCTCTGCAGGGACATGTTGACACAGCAACTTCAGACTTATCAAACTTTTATATGATGTTAGCAAGAGAAAGAGAAGCAGTAGGCCTTTGTTTGAGTTCAGCGATTTATAACAGAAGTGAGGCAGAAACACTGCAGAAACCAGATTTCTCTCAAAGAAGAGAAAGCAGCTGTAACAACGTCCTAAATGCCTTAAATCCTTCACCAATAACCGTCTGTCATGCAGACCGTGGGGGGAAACCGTGTCGTCTGGTTCAGCTGAAGAAACTGGAACCAGTTTCTGTCAGTAGAACTGGTTCTTTAAGTGTGGAACGATGATAAAACGCATCTTCAAGTTTTTTATGACACAACTACAGACTGCAAATAAAAGGGCTCATGTCTACATACGTCCTGTATTCTTTACTAAAAATCTCTTAGAATATGTTTCTTCATCTAAATTGGGCATTTAGAGTCAGATAGTCTGCCTGGGAATTTTATTCCAAACAAACAATCTTTGACCTGGTGCCTAAAATCTGAGTCTGCTTCAAAACAACAATTAAATTTAAATGAACTTGGCTCCTAAAAATACACCAGAATCTCACTAATGGCTATAAAATGTCTGTGGTTCTGGGTGCAGCTTCATTAGAGACATTCAGCCATTTATTGACAATGGGAGGATAATTTGAGAAAACCTTCTTTACTTTATTGTAGAGGTAAAAACACTGGAACTATAATATAACCCAGTGTAACTCATTAAATGGAGACTGTGGCAAAGTTAAGAATAAACTTTTAAAGGCTTCTTGTCGAAAAATAGAGACAGCGGAGAGACAGAGAGAGAAAAACAAAGAGGCAGAAAAAAACAGAAACAGAGAAAGAAAGAGGAAAGTGAAAGATGGAGAAACAGTGAAAAATAGAAAAACAAAAGAGAAAGAGAGATAAAAAAAGACGTAGAAAGCCAGAATCGTCTTCCTCACCTGTTGAGTTTTCAGCCTCTCATGACATGAAGCAGATTTCTGTCCTGCACAAAAAAAACAAAATCACTTTTATTCCCTCTTCACAGCAAAATGTTTCAATTTTCATGTGTTTTCAGGACACAGCAACATGTGATTAGTCATTAATATCTAATCTAGGATCACATATCAACATCAGGGTTCAAAGTTCACATTCAATTGTAAATGTAACTTCTTATTATTTTGTTTTTAAATACTGAAGAAACCCAGTTTAGTGAAGTAAAACCGACTGCTCTCTCACACAGTGTGACGTCGCCTCTGGTTCTGCTGTCAAACCAAACTGATGAAAGGCTCCGTTTCCTCCACAGCTTAAAGTGTTTTATTACGTTTATTCAGACTCAATCTGGCACATGTGAACATCCTGGGAAACGTTTTAGTGGCGATAAATAAGTCGCTATACCTTTAAAACATCCGTAGCTCTAATATGACACCATGTCATAATGTTCATATTTATACTGGCCCCAGCTGCTGTAAATCTGTAGCTGCTATCAGCCAGGTAATAAATTGCTGCTGCTCTGCAATGTTCATTGATTTCCTCCATGATAATGATGGCCGCCGACCTGATTAACATCAATGAGATGAACTCTCTCCGGCTTGATGTTCAGTTACAGACGAGGCAAGGCGCTGTGGAAACACCAGAGCTTCTGGATGGAAATCCAATAACAGGAGGAGTTAAAATCGACGCTGCTATCAAATGACTTCGGCTTACAGAGAAAGGGAGGAAGGCTGTGTTAGACATGGGAGGGAGGCAAACATATAAACCTGAAAAGCTGCAGAGAAACGCCCGGAAAGCAAACAAAGACTGTAAACGGTGGGTTGTGATTTGCAGGCTGGTGCACATTTTCTCTCATGATAGTTTATTACAGTTAAAGTTGTTTAAATCAACTAAAAGGCTCTCACAGTCGGAGCGGAGGAGCCTTATAAATCAGCTGTGCACGCTCTCTTTATCTGAGAACTGGCAGCCTGAGAGCGGAGCGCAGCGGCAGCTCACCCGCCTCACATGAAGCCTTCGCCTCATTAACCAGCGGCGAGAATCAGGAGGCGAGGTGAGGAGGAAATCACAACGGGAATATGATGATGAAACGTTAGGAAACCCCTGCAAGATAAAACTAGACCGGAGCACACGCCGTGCTGCCACCCAGCAAGTCTGGCTGGACCAGGAATCTGTTGACAGAGGCAGTAAATATTCATATCAGCCGCTCACTTTACGTTGCAGCTTTTAGAAAATAAATAATAATGCAATAAAGCAGGACTCCCTCAGGTTATTCAGGGTAAAACTGATCCGCTACATGCATTATCTATGGAGTGCAGTTCAAAATAATACAAGAGATTAAAAAGAGTACGCAGCAGAAAGAGTCGACTACAACTGGAGGATAAATCAGGAACAGTTTAGCATCAGCAATAAAAATACTAAATAGTTTTAATTCACAGATGAAACAAAAACTATTGCATAACTCCCACAAGTCTGAACCGGAAGTGATCCGCCCCATCTTGGTAGGCAAATGCAGCGATGATCACAAAAGGAAAACGTGGAAACGCTTGACCGTTGCTGCAGACGTGACCAAGTCCCACTGTACGAAACGTCAGCATCAACCTGGCCTGTGAGCTGCTGGATAACTTCCCTGAAACCAACAAAACGTTTTTACTCCTTTAAGTTAAAGCAGCTGAGAAACGTTGGAGTTCAAAAGTGAACGGAGTAACGTCTGGCGTGGCTGAACAAAGAGCAGAACCAGTTTGAAAACAAGCTTCTTCATGCTTTGAACACAGAAAACAGCTGGATCCAGAGGCCACGTTTTGAGTATATAAATAGTTTCTGCAAACCAAACCACCCACTTCTACTTTGGAAGCTTAGATCATCCTCTGAAAACTCCCAGCATGCTGATTCTTCTGATTAAGTATCTGGTCAGGCAGCCGCAGGCCTGCACTGTTTCATGATTCCTGGTGAACCTGAATATTTTAATCAGGCCTACAGCGAAAGAATGAGAACTGGCTTTTCTTTAAAGCAGCATAAAAAACAGAACTGTCTGCAGCTTTCTGAGAGCATTGTGGGAAACTGAGCACTTTAATTTGGATGCAAAAGCCTTGTCCTCTTCCCTGAAGGCTCAAAAAGGTAAATCTAAGAAAAAACCTCGTCTAAAACATTCACATGTTTTTCAGCTTAGATTTATAGAGAAAAGAAAGTTGGCAATCTGGAGGAGTAAATCTAAAGGACGAAACTTAGTCATTATTTACTTTGAGCACAGAAAAACAAAAGATTACAAAGCTTTTGAGTGTTTTAGACATAACTACTATGACATTTTTACATCTCCTGCAATGAAACATGGTGAATATGAGGTTTCGTCGATTAGTCGTTTACATGCAAATGAATGAATCAGCTGTGGTTTGTGGTGAAATAAAAATAAATCTTGTTTCCAATAGATGATCACCAATAATCGGGCAAAGTTACGATGAAAAATTGATCAATTTCCTGATGCATTTGAATGTTTTTCACCAAGTATTCTGATATAATTATATCTTGACTGAAATAATTAATCAGATTAACTGTGATTAATCGGTTGAAATAACCAATTAATTTAATAATTGATTAAATGTTACCTGGAGATTCAAAAAGGAGTATTTGGCAAAAACACATTCAGAGCAGTAATTAAGCCAAAACTGTACAAAAAATATGAAACAAAAACACATTTGTCTTCGAATATGTTTTAGCCAAAACTCCTACAGTGACATAATTTTAGCTTCAGGTGGTTCAGATTTACTAAAAAAAGTGTCATTCTTACATTTTATACAATAAAATGTTTAATTTCTAATTTTTAAAAAAGAGAATTGAGTTATTTGCATATTTCAATGGATTTCTATTGTATAAAAAAGTTGAAGTGGTTAAATGAAAAATCTGTAGAATGTGTCATTTTAAAAATTTGATTAACCAATTACTAGAATAATTGATTAATCAATTAATCATGAACTGGAGACTCAAAAAAAAGTCCTTTAGAGCCATAATTAAGACAAAATTGTGCAAAAGATATTAGATGAAAATGCATTTGTCTGTGGCAGTTTTAGTAAATCCACACCAGCCAAGCTAATAGATTGTTTTTACATTTTAAGCAATGAAATGTTGATTTTCATATCTAAAGAGAGATAGTTATTTATTTGTATATTTTAATTTTCCAATTTCTAACGTATAAAAAAGGCATAACTGGTTAATTTTTAACCACTTAATTGATTACTTATAAGATTAAAAGTTGCAGTTGAATGTTTTCACTGCTTATTATTTTGTGAAAACATGCCGTAAACATTGTGGTTCAGATAACTGATGAAATAAGCTAGATCAAAACAGATCCACTATAAAAACTGCTCCAATTTTCATGCAGTCGACGATGATCAGATTAAAGAAAATTACTTTCAAATTGACTATTAAAGCAGCCATAACCGCAGTAATTGTTGTTGTTTGGTAGGAAACGTCCCATTCTTTCCCCTCCGTTTATCTGCTGTGAATATTTTCCACTGGTGGTTTCTCTCTCAGTCTCAGAGCTGCAGATCAGACCGAGTGGCTAATCCACTGTGGCATGGAAAAGAATTCATTTACACACTTGCACAGGTCTGTGCCTGTAGTGGAAGCTTTGCAGACAAGAGATTTCCTTTCACATCCAACTGAGACCAAAGTAACTCTGCGTGAAGAGTGTGGAAAAGATAAGCAGTAAACACACACAGACAAACAGACGTCTGTGTGAATATGGTACCTGTGGCCCACATGTGATAAAACACGACTTATAAAGCGGTCCTGAGGAGACACCAGCTGGACATAAACACGACCACCCTCCACCCACGTGTCTCTGCAGGCAGGAATTTGTTGGGACGTAATTACAACGAGGCGTCTGCACAGCATCCGATTAAAATCCGGAGGTTTTACAGCGGGCCTTTGAAGACTACCTGCACAAAGACTAAAGCCAAGCACTTCTTTCTGGTATCAATATCATTTTTTCTCCCCAGCGGTTTCATTATGGAAATACATGCAGCGCATAATGATAAAATTCTGCTGTGGATTCACATTCTGCGACTCAAGGCTACGCTCTCTCACTTTTCATCTGCACAGAGAGAACTCTTCCAGCTCTGAACAGCATGCGAATGGGAGGGAAGGGAAACTTTAAATGCGACAGTGATATATCGCAGCGCCAGGACGCGTCCCTGAACGCTATTCTTTCTTATGATGCTTCAGATAGCTGAGTGGGAAAAGCTGGAAAATCCAGAGGAAAAAAGATGGCTGGTATGCAACATGGATGCCAGATGGTATCAGGACTCGGAGTTTCGCCGGAAGACAGGAGAACATCCAGCGTTAAATCAGCAACATCAAAGCTCAAAGGAATGCAAGAAATTTTACGGAACAAATTATTTTTTACATCACAGACAACCTGGACTTTTCCACCATTATCAGCTGAAAAGTGCTTTGACAGGTGAGAAGCACTGGAAGGCTGGTGGTGCCAAGATGAGGAAATATGATACAGAGCCTTACACTTTATCAGCTTAAGAGGCGTCGGGGTTCATGCTCACATCTACTGGAGGAGGCGAGCAAATGGCCAGTAAACAGATGTAATTATCCAAGTGGAGAACTTTCAGGGGCTGGCATCGATTTTCTGCAGGGCTGAAAGGTTGGAAAGGCTGAGGCAGACGACGAAACTGAACAAAAAATTAGGATTTTATTGTTACTGATGGAACTGTGGATTTCAGAGTCGAAGTCATCAGAATCAAGACGGAGAGTCTTGATTTAAATTAGACAATAAGCATCAATTAGATCTGCAGGATGCGAGAGACCCAAAAATATTGAACATTTCAATGACAGTAAATATTGCGATGAAAATAATGATGTAAATATCGCGATGCCGATAATGATACATATCGTGACGACGATAACGCAGGTAAATTTATAAATATTGCAATAACAAGATCAGTTGTGATGTATCGCCAGATTTCTTCTTTCCTTTTGCTCTCATCTCTGGTTTCATCTCAAA